ATATTCATATTAATTTGAAATGAATTTTTGTCATTATGTTGTCAATTACATGATGTGAATATTCACATCATGTATTTGAAATGAATATTCACATTAATTTGAAATAAATTTTTGTCATTGTGTTGTTAATTACATGATGTGAATATTCATACTAAAACATACGAATGTGAACGTTCATATCACTATGTTAGATGAGAGAGAATGTTCACATGATGTGAATATTCACATCATTACATGTTGTGAATAAGAATATGTTGTCAATTAAAAATATAATGAACGGTATTTTAATGTGTTGTCAATTAAAAATAAGAAGGTTCACATGTAGTGAAAGTTCACATCACTACATTAGATGAGAGAGAATTTTTCGAAAAGGTGTTGTGAACGTTCACATCAGATGAGAAATAATGTTCACATTATTTTTAATGTGTTGTTAATTAAAAACATATTCACATTATATAATAATATAAAATAATAACATCAATATTATTTAAGTTGTGTAAGAAATTTTCTATGCCTTGGTCTTTTTCCTTCTCTCTCCACCCCCAACATTAAATATTAATATTAAATATAATGGTATAAGAGTCTAAGAAAATAATGTAAATTAAAAAAAAGACTTTATAGAATAAAAGTATAAATACATAGGACTAAGTGGCCGATCAAAAAAAAAAAACATAGGACTAAATGGGTTTAAAATTTTCTTCATAGACTTCTTAGGTTAGAACACTTCTAAATGAGATTTATTAATAAAAAGTCCTAAATAGTATAAATAATATTTTTTATTGAAATATTTTTATTTAAATAATATAAATAATATTTAAAAAAATTATCGAGTAGTCGGCGCCCACATGGTGTGACTCTCATATCTATCTAAGACATTTGATAAAAAATTTGATAAAATTTTTAAGGTGATAACATTTTTCAACCCCGGTTGGTAGCTCGAAAATTCGTGGGTCGAATGGGTCGAAAGATCAAAACGACGTCGTTTTGATCTTTGTATTTTTTATTTTTTTTTTCAGCAGAAGGAAGAAGGAGGAGGAGGGGAGGGGGCCAACAAACTCGGGGCTGAGGCAGGGGCGGAGGTGTGGTGACGAGGCAGAGGCGAAGCTGCGGCGAGGACGACGAGGCGACGGAGCTGCGGCGAGGATGGCGAGGCGACGAGGACGGCGAGGCGACGGAGCTGCGGCGAGGACGGCGAGGCGACGAGGACGTCGACAGAACCAGCACCCCAGCTCCCTCTCTTCTCCTTCTCCTCTCTTCTCTCCCTCTCTTCGAATTCGACCCAAATTTCGACCCACGAAATTCGAGCACCCACCCATTTTTCAACATTTTTTTTGTGAATATAATTTATGGGAAAACGCTGCTGAGTGAGCTTGCCATGGGTCGGCCATTTCGTCGACGCCTACGCGATTTGACCCCATGAACCCCTAACAATGTAGGACCCTTTTGCTTTTCTGATAAAATCGTGGGTTCTAGATTTGAACCCTTCAAAATTGGGATTCATTTACAATTGGGGTTTAATCCAGTAGTCGAATTATAAGAGAGGGGGCAGGAAGGAAAGTCAAAATTTGAAGTTAACAGTGAGAAAGTTTTAATAGTAGAGTTGAGTTATGGAATTAATGGTTGTTTTTTGCGTGTTGTCGACTGTATCTCTGCTGGTTTGTGTTTAACCACTGAAGATGTCAGGTGAAAAAGAAGACTGGTCGGAGTTCTTCGATTGGTTGTCGTCGGTGGATTCTTCAACAGACGGGCTTTTAGGAGATTTGTTCTGTGATGCTAACGTCAATCCCTGCAGCCCCATCGTCCCTTTTACGTCTCTCCACCAGCATCAACCGCCCTCGTCTCCTAAATGTAATTTATCGGATACTACTACTACTATCCCGTTGCCTACTTCCACTTGTCTATCTCTCCTCGCTAAATGTAAGTATTTTTAATGAAATTTTTTCAATTAATTTTTTTGGAATTAGATTTTATGTGTTAATTATATGTTATTAACGAATTCGAATGCTAAAGTAATTCACGTGAGGTTTATTTTGAATTTTTCAAAATTCACCAATACCTATATTGTGTTTTAATTAATTTTATTTTCTCTAAGAGATATTAAAATAAAGAGAGAACTTTTTTGATAAAATAAGGTAATAAAAATGTAAGTAAATAATTAATGATAAATGGAGGGTAAATAAATAGAGAAACAATTTAAGGGAGAAAAAGGGAAAGTTTTTCAATATGGAGATAGAGAGAGAGAGAGAGTGGTTAAACCATTATACATATATACTAGTTTATATTTTGACGTTGGGTTAATAATTTATATTGTTTATGTAATAGAAGCAGGGAAAAGTTAAAATTATATTTGGGGTTTATTATACTTTCTACATTTAAACTATCATCAAATTTTTTATTTAATCCCTAAATTATCAAGTGGATCAATTTAGTTCCTAAACTGTCATCAAATTCTCTATTTAGTCCCTAAAGTACATAAGTCAAACTCTATTTAGTCCCCAAATTATCAATTGAATCTATTAGTCCTAAAATATTTAATTCAAACCTATTTAGACCCTAAAAAGATTACAAAAATAATATATATGCCCATAGGTATTATAAATTAGTAAAACATCCTATTTAGTTAAAATTTTATTTTTAAGAAAAAAATTTAAAATAAAAACCTTAAATTTTTATTCTGTCTTTGAAAAGCGGTTGCCAATCCATATATTGAATTTCCTTTATAAGGACAATGGTAATTATCTATAGTACTGTTTTACTTATCTTCTACAATAGATATGTGCTTGCCTTAATATCTAGTATTATATGTCAGATTTCATTTATAATCTATAATTGATTGTTTTTAAGTTTTTGCTAAGTTCTTTTTATTACGTAATTTATGTATTATTTTGTTCTATTACTATTTGTAGAGAATTGTTATTATTTAAACTATATGATTCTACTTCTTCAATATATGTAATATTCATATAATCTATTGGTAAGACTGAAAAATCAAACTCTAATATTAATTTAAACACACAACGAAATAAAATATTTTTTAAAGACAAAATAAAAATTTAAAAGATTTTTCTTAATAAAATCTTAATTAGAGAGGGTTTTTTACTAATTTATAATATGTATGGGCGTATATTTTATTTTTGTAATCTTTTTAGAGACTAAATGGGTTTGAATTAAATATTTTAGGGACTTAATAGATTCAATCGATAGTTTGAGGACTAAATAGACTTTGATTTAATAGTTTATGGACTAAATAGAGAATTTGATGATAGTTTAGGGACTAAATAGATAATTTAATAATTGTTTAGGGGTAGAAAGTGTAATAAACCCTTATAATTGTTGATGTAAGAGTTAGGAAACGCAATTTTAACGCATTAATTAAGGCCCATTTTGATAAATGACTTTTTTAAATTTATTGGCTTATTATGAAAAAAATGTGTAAAAAGTAGAGTGATAATATAAGTTAATAAGCCAATAAATTAGTTTTTTTTTTTTTGTCATTCCAAAAGAGGCTAATAGTTGTAACATTTTTAAAATTTATTTTCAAAACAGGCTAAAATTTATTTTCAAATTTATTTTCAAAACAGGCTTATTAACATTTTTGTCATTCCAAAAGAGGCTAATAGTTGTAACATTTTTTGTCATTCCAAAAGAGGCTAAAATTTATTAGTCCTAAAGTATAAGTTAATAAGCCAATAACATTTTTAGTCCTAAAGTATAAATTAATTTTCAAAAAAAATATGAAAGACGCAATATAGTTGTAACATTTTTAAAATTTATAGTTTATTAATTTACCTTTCACTTTTGAATTTTATTTAAATTTCACTTTGATCTCTTATCTTCTAATTATAACAATTAAGTTCTTAAATTTCTACCCATTTTTTAGTGTGGATCTCCTATTGGCCCATCATTTAAAATTTGAGTAAAAATTTAAACTTAAAAGGGCCAAAGTAGAATTTGACTAAAGTTTGAGGGTGAAGTGCAATTTTTCATGTCAATTTTTTCCTCTTATATTCCTAAAATGAACTCACATAGCCCCATGAGTACTTTTTCCATTCAAATTTGTAACGATAAGTGACGTCATGAGCCATTACCACTTTAAAAAATGGGTTGAAGTATGATGACTTAGTTGTGGCAATTAGAAGACGAGGGATTAAAATAAAATTCAAATAAAAGTTTAAGAGTGAAAAGTGTAGCCTACTCTTTATTTTGTTTCAATTAGTATGTGAATTATTTATTCAAAGGTAATTAAAAAAAATTAACACTAATTAAAGTTAAGAAGTCATAGATCATAACATAAATATCAAGATATTATTTAAGTAACAATTGCATTATAAAAAATGAAAAATAATTGTAGAACATTAAAATACGCATGGTACGTAAGGAAAGAGGGAAATGTATCCGAATGTTTGTCATGTGTATCTTGTATATCATATTGCATGTCGTACAAATATATGTGTATTATAAGTTACAATCAAGATGGAATAAGTACAACGAAATTGAGAATGATTAGGAAACAGTGTTTTTTTTTTTTTTAATTCAACAGTAGACTTGCTCCTCTCTCTCCCTCTTAGTAAGAATATAATTCATTTAATCATCAAAGATATCTCTTTGGCACGGGCCCAACACCGCAAGGGCAGACAAAAAACACATTGAAACAAACATAGACAAATATGAAAGATACTCTTCTTTGCTGTTTCAAATATAGCATAGATTATTGTTAACTTTCACTTATCTTAGTCTAGAATGTTTCAAAAAAAAAAATAGAATGATATTAAGTAAAATTCTTTGGAATGTCATGTTGTTCTAATATGTGGATTTGTTAACTTCATGGGCTATCACCAATGATGGTCATGTTGCTTATTTAATGCATTCCAGAGGTTCATGCAATCACTCATAACGTGAAAATTTCGGTAATCACAGACAGATCTGATTTGGAGTCCGAAAGCGTAGAATTACAAAAGCTTGGTGATGAAGCTCAGCTGGTTTGCTTGAAACTCTCAATAATGAAAGAGGTGCTTCTTGACTTAGCAAAATGTCCGTCTGGAAAACTAAAATTATTACTGCAGGAGGCAGAAACTTTGAAGCCAATACCAGGTTTTATGATTGAAGAGACAATGACAAACTCACTTCGGTTCTTGATAGAATCGACTGCACAATATGCTCTGTCTCAAATTTCAGCAACTGTTGAGAATCTGCACCAGAGTGCACTTACAACTTCATTGCAACCTTTGGTTCTTGACCCGCATAACAATGAACTTCATCGGTGCAAGATTGCCTCTCTAATATATATGTTTTCCTTGGACAGTGGTATGGGTGTGGACTGTGGACATCATAGCCATGCTTTTCTATTGAAGTTACCATTTTGGAACCCAAATGTGCAGTTTTACCACCGCAAGGAGCCCGTTATGCTCAATCATGCTCAATATTACAATGTTGGGGGGACCTTGGCTTTGCCAGTGTTTGAAGCCTCTCGACAGTCCTGTGTTGGTGTACTTGAGCTTATAATGACTTCGCAAAAGATCAGCTACACCCCTGAGGTAAGCAAAATCTACAGAGAACTTGCAGCTGGTCCTGAAATTATTTAAGCAAATAAATGTCAATAAATACCTATTTTTATTCTTAATTTCTTAAAATTTGAAAACATATTTTAGTTTTCATGATTGCAGTTCTTGCCTTGGCTTTCTTATCATATTTGTATGTTACAAAGTGACTTAGTTGAGATGAGCAGTTAATGGTATGGATGGTCATGGTCCTCTGTGGTGAAGTTTTTCTGTGATGAAACTGGCGTAATTATAGAATTAAATAACACAAGACTATTCTAACAGATATTAAAGATCATAGTGCATTCCATATATTATGGGTGCAAGATGCTCTATAATGCAATACCTGTAGTAGGAGATACCATAATGACTCAGCTTTGGGGTGGTTTCTCTGTGGACAAAGCCACCTTAAATCGTCATTTTAATCCTCATCATTTACTCCCCTTTATTTTAGTAAGCGCCAGTGTTCTTCATCTAAACGTATTGCTTCAATATGGATCACACATAATCCATTGGGTGTACATTCAAAGATGGATAAAATTGCTTCTTCCCTTTTTTTTTATGTAAAGGATCTAGTAGGTTGGTTAAGCCTGAATTTTATTCCTGCAGTATTAGAAAATGTGCATGCTTCAAGATCAGCAGGAGAAATATATAATATATATTATTTTGTCGGCAGCAGATTTTTTTATCATGGCAATCCTTGAGCTGTCAGTTTTCGAATTGGCATATTAAGCAAGTTTTCCCCTTCCCTTTTTACCTTAGTCTTAAGTTTCTTTTTATTACCAGATTGATGATCAAATTTGTACAACCCAAATTGTTAAAATTATTTTGGTGTTTGGTTTGATTTCTCATATTTTATGTTTATCAATTTTGGTCCAAATATGGGGCAAATTAATCTATACAATATGACTGCTGAAATTTGTAAATATTTACAGTTTCTTTCTTTTTAATGGCTATTCAAATTTAAATTAACTATTATTTTTCTTGAATCTAACCTCAATTCTATATTGACACGCAGTTTTACATAAGTGATTATCATTTAAACATTATAAATTTAAATGATTACCTTCTTGATCATAATGCAACATTAATAAGATATACAAGATTTATCGCGCTCACATTTTATCATTTTGTTAGTAAAGTTACTAAAATACAATTTTGGTTTTCAGTTCACAAATACTAATTCCTTTTGTTGTACTCCCTGTTGGTAACAATGATGCAGCATGTCAGAGCTACCAAATCGTCTACAAATGAGAAACTTGATTTGAGGCTCGACTGTTTTCAGATATTACAAACTGCCAGGTCTCCACTGCAGCCTCAAGCCCGACAAAATGGTGGTCCTATAGAGAATGGAAGTAATGTTATTAGTGCATGTCAAAGCCACAATGCTGTTGTGTTGTCAGAGATAGAAGATACCGGAGAATCATCGAAGATAAAATCTGGAAAAAAAGAGGAATCAATTGGCCTGGAGATTCTTCATCAGCATTTCCATCTGACTCTTCTAGATGCTGCAAGCAAGCTAAATGGTACAGATGTGTTCTTGAAGTTGAAGTGTTGCTTCCTGCTCATGTTGCTTTCAACTGGCTGAATTGTTCTTATGTTATATGAAAGTTGACTAATCCAATAGTAGCAGCATCAGAAATCACTTGTAATAATAAAATACAATAAATAATGAAAAAAAAAAAAATAGCGGCAGCACAGAAATGGAGTATTTCTTATTTGTACTGTTGTTTTTGCAGTTAGCCGATCTACTCTAAAGCGCATCTGTAGGAAGCTGGGGATCTCGGAGTGGCCATCTCGCAAGAGAAACAAGCTCAAGCCAGTAGATGAATCTGTACCAAGTGCAGGAGCAAACGATCCTAATCTTTATACGAGTCCAAGTCTACTTTCCACTGTTGTTGTACTTGATCAACCAAAGCCTCCAGGCTCTGAACTTCAAAGAGAAAAGGGCAAATCACTCTGTTATAGAACGGAAGTGGGTTTTGGACAGGTTGAGAGGCTGCTAGATTATATGCCTGGGGGTTATCACAATGAACTCCGTGTGCAAACTGGTATTTTGCAAGAGTTTGGTAGAATGACTCCAAAGGAGAATTTATTCGTTGGTGTTACTAATGAACAATGCTCAAAAGTTGGGGGCTCCTCTGAATTGGTGTTTCAACCAACTAGACCAAATCCCTCAATTGCTCATTGCAACCCTGATGCCATTCTTTCCACACTGTCTCAAACCCCCTCAAGAGATCTGCTGCTAATTAGAAGTTCGGAAGGCTTTTCAGAGAATGCAGTGTTGGCATCTAGACAGAGAACTGGCCCAGCTCCCAAGCGAATCAAGACTAATCTGGCTCGAGCGGTGCCAAATTTTACTGCAAGGCAAGAAGTGAGCACCCTGAGGCCATGTTTGTTTGGGCGAACTGGATTAGCATTCCCATGACTAATAGTCCTAGGATTACGAATCCGTTGGATTATGTATTCTATCTTAACTAATAGTCAAGTTTAAAATAATTAGTCCGTACTTCAATTGTTTAACCAAACATCGAATTAATAATTTTGTTGGACTATTAGTCCAATCCCAAGCTCATGTCCACCCAAACAAGCATGACCTGATTGTAAAGGCAACATATGGAGAAGACATGATACGATTTCGATTTCCGTCAACCTCCGGAATCATTGAGCTGAAGAATGAGCTAACAAAGAGGCTGCCGTTAAAGGTTGGTACTTTTAACATAAAGTATGAGGATGACAATCAGGAGTCGATCTTAATGGCCTGTGATGCAGACTTGCAGGAGTGCATGGATATTTGGACTTCACCTGACAACAACGAAGTCAGATTATTTATTCATGGCTGTGAAAGCAAGGGGTGAAAAGAAAAATATATTAGTGAAACTAATTGCCTTAGGATCAATTAGAATTTTAGAAGTAAAGAGTTCTGTTCGTATTGATTGGATTTTTTTTTTTTTTTTATGGCAGTATTGATTGGAATTTGGAACCAGTAAATGCAGCAAAGGAATAGTATTTTTGTGCAATTATTATGGGCAACTAGTCGGTTAAGTTTTTTTTTTATTATTCTTTTCTTTAAATTAATAATTTTTACAGATTCTCACATTAAGGAATTGAAGTAAACTCCACGGTGGTATGGTGAATGGAATGACGAGCTCATTCTGCTTCTTCCACCGTTAAGTTGTTAACATAGAATGATGTAGGCAGCAAAAAATAATTATCATTCCTATATTTGATTATACCTAATTAAACTGTTGGAATGGAATGGACCTAGTTTGTCAATTGGTCATATCTTTAATGTTCTATTATAATCAACCTAGTGGGCTTGGTGTTGATCCTACGATTTGGGGTGGAAAAGTAAGTAATTGATTGAGCTGTCTAGCCTGTTAACCATTCAAAGACTTCTAATCAGCGTTGCATTTTCTAATTATTAATTTCTTTTTAAAGGATAATTACAACCCAAAAAAAAATTGTTAGGTTTAACCCTTATAACAAAATAAATTATAAATTTTTAATGTTATCAATTTAAATCCTGATTTTATGATTTGTTTTCAATGTAAACTATTTGTCTATTTTCGTTAACTGAAACTGACAAAAAAATATATTATTTTAATTATTAAACTTAATATAAGTATATGTAAAATGTTTCAAGTATCTATTTTTATTGAGTTTAATAACTAAAATATTTATTTTTTTCGTCGATTTTATTTAGAGAACATAGACAAATGGTTTAGATTGAAAAAAAAATTAAAAATTTCAACGTTTAAATTGACAAAATTAAAAATTCAAGATTTATTTTGTTATAAGAGTCAAATTTTGAGATTTTTTTTCTTTTTCTTTTTTGTAATTTCTGCCAAAAAAATAAACTTAGTGTGCTTTTCATATTTTTAAAAATATATATATATACTAGTTATAAAACATGGGTAAACTATATGCAAATGGGAGTTAGAAAAAAAAATTATCAACAAATAGAGGAGTGCAAGTGCTAGCCTTTCATTTACACTCCACCACAAACACACTTACACCCTCATGTGTTTGTAAAAATATTTTCGAAGTCTCACCTGCATGTAATTCCTTCATAAAACACCTAACTTCTTGATCATTCAAAAAAAAAAAATTTATAACAAATTAAATAATTTACCATAGTAAGATCGATTAAATTTTTTTTTAAGGATATATATAAATAATTTTACAAAGATAAATAATTTAAATTATCAAAATAGTTATAAACCTAAATAACAAGTTCCAATTGAGTTCAGATGGATGGGAGGAAAGCACAATTCAACACATGACTAGTAAGTCGTTCTACGTCTAAAATTAAAAAACTAGCTTTCTAGACATTGATGCCATTAGGTTACCATAAAGGAATCCCAATTGGTCCAAAATTAGAAAACTGAAAATAATAATAATTATTATTATATTTTCAAAAAAGGAATCCTAATTTTATTGAAACCAATAAGGGTTTTCTTTTCCTATAGGTGACCTATATATATGTGTGTTTTTATGCGTCTCCAAACTAATCAGAGACGAACAGTTGTTCGATGCAAGAAAATAAAAAGATTGGAGTGTTAAAGAAATAGAGAAACACGATGATCGACAAGAGGTTCTTAACACTTAGAGATGTGAATTTTATTGAGGTTAATTCTAGTTGTTCTCCATTCGAGTGCTTGAGGCAGATTTCAAAAGTTGCAGAGAAAAAATTGGAGGAAGAAAACTTGATTAAAAAGACATCCATGGCAGAGGAGGCCAATCCTGGTCCTGGTCCTGGCGTAGAAGAGTACTTAAAAATTAAAATTCAAACGTTTATCGCCAAGGAAGACATGGAAGCGAAGATGAAGATAGAAAACTTCGAAAAAACGATTGAAAAGCTTCTCAAGAAGCCTGTTATTGATGAGCCAGTTGATAATTCGCCCAAGGAAGAGAGGATGAAGAGAGAAAAGCGGCTCAAGAGGCCTGTCACGGAAGAAAAACCCAAGAACAAGAAGAGATATGAGAGTGAAGAGAGCGAAGATCAAGAAAAACCCAATCCAATCAAGAAGAAGAAGATGAGTAGTAATACGGGAATTGACAATGTTTCATATCCACCACCAGAACTTCCTTCAGAATTTAAGGAAAAAATCAACAACTTGAATGGTTCTAAATTGAAGTTGTTGATACAGAAGAAGGTGACCGCGACCGATGTAAGTCATACTCACAATCGTATATCAATGCCTTTGAATGGCATCAAAGTAGATTTCCTAAGTGATGAAGAGAAGAAGCATCTAGACTCGCATACTGGAACGAATGTGGCAGAGATACCAGCGAAGCTAATCCAACCTGGTTCGTGCAAAGAATGCGATGTAACGTTCAAGAAGTGGGATATGAAGAAAGAAAGAGGCAAAACTAGCTCAATGTATGTGTTTAGTAAAGAATGGAACGAAATTAAGAGGAGGAATGGAATAGAACAAGGTACGATGGTGCAAGTTTGGTCGTTTCGTGGACCGGGTGATGAACTATGCTTTGCTCTTGTTATAGTTGAAGAGGGTGGCGATGGCAACAGAAGAAGCAGTGCAAGTCAGAGTGGAGAAAAAAATACCCCAAGCACTTCCCAGTCTCACCATCAAGAAGATTAGTGTTTCTTAAATTTTTTAATTTTTAATTTTTAATTTTTTAATTCTACTTTAGAAGTTGCATAAATTTATCTTTCTGCAGATTTTGGATATTTGTTTCAGTGTAACTAACAAATTCTTAAGATCACGAAAATTGTTTCACAAAATGCGTTATGAAATCATGCCAATCAACCAGCCATCAATCAGCTGATAGATCACGCACGGCTTCAAAACGAATTTCGTCAATCTAACATTGCTATTTACATATAGAATTTTTATACGTAAAATTTTATTAAATAATGTGATAGTGGTATTCTTTAAATTTTAAGTCAAATGGTAGTATTTTAATTTGAACTGAAACATCATATAAATTTTGAATGAAAAAAATGTTGTATACAATTATTCTTAGAATAAATCTCAGTTTAAAAATAAATATATATATAATAATAATAATAATAATAATTTATTTTTAAAAAATTTGCAATTTTTTAAATAAATTAAATATGTGATGGACATCATACTTGCTACTGAAGCTCTTACCCCACCCCTCCAAAAAATAAAACACAAAGAGAAATTGAAAGAGGAAAAAAAAAAAAACAGAGAGAAATCGAGCTTATTTATTTGTTAGAAAAAACAAACACCAAAAATAAGTTTCGTGTCTATCCTTCAAAAGTCCAAGTAATACTGTTTTTGGTGTGTCACAAACAACTTGTCATGTTCGAAACCTACTCAATTATATTGCCAAAACAAAACTATCTAAATCAATTCTAATCCAACAATTTGATTAAGACATAAAAAAGAAAAGAAAAAAGGAGAAAAGAGAAAGAAAAATGAAAAAGGTGGTGTTGTTGAAAGATACAGCAGTATGGAATTTTGTCAAATTGATGACCATGTGTTTTATGGGTGGCCTATAGAAGTTTGGTTGCATGTATATGGTTTATCTGATCTTTGAAATAGTTGCCATGCATAATGATTTGTTTTTTTTATTTATTTTTATAGAATCAAGTTCATTGCTATAAGCTAGGAAGCCAAATAAAATGATGCCATCAAATTAATTAGTCTTATTTGTTTAATTGCTCAATCAAAATTCATGCATGCTCTTTCTTTTTTTTTTGCAAGAGCAGAAAATTGATTGATTTTTATTGAACCCGAGAAAAATAAATAAATAAAAAGGATAGAAAAGGCACAAGATGCTCTGTTTGTAAATTTCTCAATTTTTTTATTTTAATCATATCTTCAGACTTCAACATGATTCCAAGGCTGAAAGTGCACTGAAATTGAAAGACAAGGAATTCTTTTTTTTAAAACACTCATATGATATGACATGCATAATTTCTCTATTTTTTTTTTTTTTTTGATCGAAACCAATAATTTTTTAGAAGTTATTCCATGTCTCAATGGCATTGTGAGGTGGTGCCACTCAAGAATTGTGATTAGCAAATACAGTGAGGTTCACCATTTTGTGCCGGTGATCATGGGAAGACCACATCCACATGAGAGCATGAAATTTTGTTATTGAATTGTGGCATGGCTATGCAGGGCACTGAATAATTTTCTAATATTTTCTCATTTTCAAGTATTCTGAGGGTCTTAATATTATCTTGCAACTATCTCAGAATTTGCTAAATATAGTGTAATACTACTGGATTTCTCTTGATAACAATCATAAATATTTAACAAAATTCTTAGTACTCTTCCTTTATGTAAGAGATAATAAACTAAATAATATATAGTAGCTGCAAAAATTCTTCCAAACTGATAATAATATACAAAAAAAAATTCATCAAATTGGAGTTATCCAATAGAAGATGATTTACTGATACAGAAAACATTGGAAGCAGAATTAGATTTGTGACATTGAAGCTTGGAAACTACCTCTTTTCAAGTCTACATGTACAATCAAGTAATGCAGAAAAAAAAAAAAAAAAAAAAGAGAGAGAGAGAGAGAGAGAGAGAGAGAGAGAGAGAGAGAGCTTCAAGCTTTGACTGTCTCCAAGGAAGCAAATTGGGAGGCCTCAGGAGCTGCAGAACCCCTGAAGAGCAAGATGGCAAGGCTGCCAATGCAGAAATAGATGAAACAGCCATAGCAGTGAGTCACAAACGACCCAAAATCTGTACCCACTATGCATTGCCATCCTCCTCCATATGCCTTATCAAATTCCTGCATCACATATATCCATTCCAACCCCATATTAATATTTAAAAGGAATAAAATGACTATTTTTTCGTCTCTAATGGATATGAGTTCATCTGTCTCCAAATCTTTTAATCCTTCAGATCCCAAAATATTCACATCTATTAGATTATGTTTTGAGATTACTGCACTTTTGAGTTTTTCAATGATCCAAAGGTTACGAGTATTTTGAGACAGGGAAATAGGGAGATTTGAGGACAAATGATCCTTAATTTCCTATAGAATAATTATTCTTTGAAATTGATGAATGATGATTCCCTGAATCATCAAACCAAATATAAAAAGAAAATTATTTAGGACTCTCCCTAAATTTATTCCAAATGATGCGAGCTGTTACAGGTCAATTGTTAATTTGTTTAGAAATCAGTAAGTTAAAACCCAATCCTCTGCCATATTATGTAAATTTAGTAATAATATTTTAGAAGTCTCTAACGTTAATTGTATAAAAAAAATTATTCAAATGAAATCATCATCTGATTGATATCAACTTCCTTCCAATAAATCAAACACTAAGAAAGGTCTTACGCATGTGAAGTTTGAACTCAATTCATCATTTCATGTGAAGTATTTTTTTTTTCCCTAAAAAGTTTGGGTTACTTTTTCCAAGTGTAAGCCAGTAAATTAAAGAAGAAAAGCCTGTTAAATATGGGGATAGTACCTTCTTAATGAAGCGGGCAATCTCAGTGGGCTCAGTGACATCATAGAAGTCTAGTGCTTTTGCAGCCAAATCAAGAGCATCTCGTTGCATATTTTGACGCATATCTGTCTCCCCAATCACTGCTTTGCCTTCAAGCATGGTTACTGATTAAAAATATATAATAAAAAAAAAAAAGAAACAAATATAGACCAAGTTTTGGATATGAGATAACTTAGTTTCTAAGTTCTGTGGATATGAAGCAGAGATGGGGTAATGGTTTTTTATATACATGATTCGGGGAACTCGACAATAAAAGACACGTCATTGTCACTCTATAAATTCTTTTATTTTTTACTTCACCTAAGTAATAATACTAGCTACAATTTGAAACGACCTAATAATTTTCAGTTTTTTTCTCTGACATTAAATCAAATAAAATCATTTCACATAAGTATAAGATTCATTTTATATAAAAAGATTGTGAAAATCAATTTTTATGGCCCTTTACTTTTTTGAATAATTTATTCGAAATATAAAAGGGGTTGGTGCTGGTGCGTTAACCACGAAGATGTGGATATCTTGTTTGTGGCCATCAATTTTAGTAGGGGTTCGGGAACTGATGCTGTGGCATCTCATGCCAAATGGTCGTCCGAAAAGCCTACCAAATCAGAAAATGTCTTAAATTTTTATTATGAAAAATAGGCTAGTAGTGTATATTTTAAATTTTAAGTGAATCTTAATTATAAATTTAAAATTTTGGATAATTTTTTAGTTTTCTTATTTTTTTCTAGGTTCTTTCCAATATAGACGACCGAGCAACAACACATGAAGGTGCAGGGGGGAGTATGGTGAGGGCAAAGCACAGAATGGTTAAAATTGAAGAGTTTTCTGGTCCTGTTTTATGGTGTGACACGTGGTCAATTATTGTGGGCGGTTTGGCAACATTGGTAAAATTTTATTTTTTTGACTTTTTAGTTTTTTTGGGTAAAAAAAATCACAAAAAATCAGTTTTTTTAATAAAAAAATCAAAAAATTAAAAAATTAACTTTTTACTAACTTTCTAAAATATCACTATGTCTCAACTTCTGCGATGTGTTGGTTGGTGATATTAGCACGAGTGGTGATTCATCCCACTAATTTTTGGATCACTAATAGCTCTAATGAGTTTAAAAAAAAAAAAACAAACAAACAAACTCAAGCCAAACAACAATGATAGAGACCACTAATTTTGGAGCTCTAAAAAGATCACTAATGACATGGCACTCAATAAAAAAAGAAAAAAAATACAACACCAAAGCCAAAATATCAAATCATTCATGATGAGACCTACTGTCACATCATTAGTGGTAGCACTAATTAGTGCTCCCACTCATTTTCCCAAGCCAAAACATCACATCACTTTGGTGGGGGCCACTGTACCACATCATTAGTGATGCTCTAGAGCTCCTAATTTAGTGCTCTAAAACATTATTCTATTAGCACATTTGATTTATGGGTGGTGTTAGAGACCACTAATTTAGTGGCTTTAAACCCACCACTAATGAGGTGGTAAAGCCATTAAAAAAAAAAAACACAAACTATGACAGTGGGTGGGATCCACTGCCACATCACTAATTAGAGCTCCAACTTATTTTTCTTGATTTATTTTTACTGTGGCCCATTTTTCTTGAAAATGTGTGTTGAAGTGACGGCTGAAAAAGAAAAAAAAGATTTGAGTAGTTAAATAAAAATATGGTACTAGAAATTTCCTGAACTATGAATGGACTTTGGTTTGGTGTTAAGAACAGCTCCATATTTTTTTATTTAGAGGGAGAAAAAATATATATATATATATATATTAATAAAAAAAACTAAAAATAAGGTATAACTATAACATTAATGTTTATCAACATTAAACATACTTGTCTGTCTGTGAGTGTTTGTTTCATACTAAACTGAATCATATTGGACTATTAAAACTAACAATAATATTAGGAACACAAAAATTAAATATAAAATGAAATATAAATGTTTTATAAGGGATAGGACACCTGGTGGAGTTAGAAAAATAGTTTAGAGGAGGCACTTATTAATTAAAATTTTAAATTTTTTTCTCATAATCAATAACAATAGATAATATTTTTTAAATTAATATTAAGCTCAACATCTTAAATATTTAATATAAAAGTTTTTAAATTTTTGTTTTTACAATTGATCTTGTGAAAAATTAGAATTAGAAATATAGCTTTATTTATAACTAGTGTATTATAGGCAATGCAGAATAATGTTGTATGTCTAATAATATATAAATAATAGTGATACCACATCATTAACCAATAGTAAAATAACGCATGAAAGGTTAGTCACACTTGTCAAATATAATTAACAATTCAATAATTTTACATTTTCGTAGTGGGACTAACTATGTTTATATGTAAGTGATGATTTGGTATCATTGTTACACAGAATTTTTTTTATAACATTTTCATACATAATAGTTTTGCTTGTTATAATTTTTTTTATTTTCAATCAAAAACAACCATCATTATTTTCGTAATTAAAAAAAACGATTAAGAAATCATTATAAATATTATTTCTATAAGTTGTCTATTTATTAATTATTTTCCTTATATATAAAAATTAAAAAATGAGGGGGTGCACGTGCTGCAGATCCCTCCAAACAAGAACGACCTTTAAGTGAAGGAAAGAAAAAGAACTCTCTGGATTTCTGAAGAAGATAAAGAGAAGGGAAAAAACTGAGTCGAACCCAAATACATGGTCCATGTTAAGCCCACGAGTGGCTAGGTGTTGGTTTTGGATGGGTACAACTGGTCCAATTGTCATAATACATACATTTAAACCAAAATGGCTACGAAGCCTCCAAAGTCCAAAACTATTGTAAAGGAATATTTATATTTTTTTCTCAACATAGGTGTTTTTTTAATTTTTAAAAAAAATAAAAATAAAAAAGCTACCTCATGAGATGCTTACAGCTGGAAAATAAGAGAACAAATAGAAATAGGAGAGAGATCCATCAAATAAGACAGATCAGCCATGTTCTTTGAGTATTCAGTTTAGTACTTGATTATCTTTGAGAGATATACTGACTTGATCGTCGGAGTGCCCCCGGGTGGAAGAACCACCGCCGGAGCTTTTTCTTTCTGTTTCAGGTTACTCAAGCCATCTATTCTGCTTGTGCTCTCCAGCTGATCACTAAACGGGCAGTGTGGTCAGATTTTCACCCACACACCTTATATATAAAAATTAAAAATGAGGGGGTGCACGTCCTGCAGATCCCTCCAAACAAGAACGACCTTTAAGTGAAGGAAAGAAAAAGAACTCTCTGGATTTCTGAAGAAGATAAAGAGAAGGGAAAAAACTGAGTCGAACCCAAATACATGGTCCATGTTAAGCCCACGAGTGGCTAGGTGTTGGTTTTGGATGGGTACAACTGGTCCAATTGTCATAATACATACATTTAAACCAAAATGGCTACGAAGCCTCCAAAGTCCAAAACTATTGTAAAGGAATATTTATATTTTTTTCTCAACATAGGTGTTTTTTTAATTTTTAAAAAAAATAAAAATAAAAAAGCTACCTCATGAGATGCTTACAGCTGGAAAATAAGAGAACAAATAGAAATAGGAGAGAGATCCATCAAATAAGACAGATCAGCCATGTTCCGTCCCGTATCAAGAAAGATGGGATGGGCTACCACATCGTGACGGAGAATTTGCACCCAACATTATTTACTATTTACAGTACCTCACACACCTTTCTTTTTCTTTTTTCTTTTTTTTGGAAGTATTTTGAGGGTTCAGTTTGTATGACTATGGTTCCATCAAGAGTCCGGGTGATCTAAATCGTTGAAACTTGAAGTTATAGAATTTGTCAAGTAAATTATTTATGTAAAACAATAAAATTGATAATTATATAGTTAACTTATATTTGTATAAGAAAAATGATAATAATAAAAATAAACAAATTGTATTTTTTAAATTAAACTTACTATTATCATCTGATCAAGTAATTGTTGAAATACAATACTTTAATTGCTTACATAAAGAATTAACTGGATGAATTTTGAACAGTCCAAGATCACCTAGAGGAACTTGTAACTACACAAAAATATGAAGGCTAGTCTACCTTTGTTAAAAGATACTCTCTCCAGTTCAGGTCTGGAACAGACCAATCTAGTTCGGTTGATTGGACTCATTTTTAATTTTTTTTTGATAATTCGAATCGTTCACATTTTAGGATTTTTTGAATATATTATCTCTGTAAAAACATCACGTCGATCGGATAACGGATACTATGTATTCCGATAACTTTTGTCTGGAAAAAATAGACGATCAGAAAATTAACGATTGATAAAAAAGTGATCCGAATACATCGTATTTATTATCTGATCGATGTGATTTTATATAAGGATGATATACTTAATAAATCTAAAAATATGAACAATTTAAATTATTAAAAAGATATTCAAAAGTAAACCTAATAAATGAATTGGATCCTTCAATCCAAATGATGGACGGGAGGCAAGCCATGCCAAGATAAAATGCATATATTGAAGACAAATATGTATATATATATATGTGCATATGTATATAAAATAGAATAGTAGTTGGAGATTCCTTGTCAAAGCATCCCACCTTACTTCACCTAGATCTAAAATAAGGGCGGTGGTAGTTCGGACTGACATCCTAACACCAGCAACGTGTCACCGACACACATTCGTGTCTCCAACGAAATCCCCCAACTCCAAAATATCTCCCGCAATCCTTACCCAACTATATACCTCTCTGCACCTTTTTCCTTTTCCTTATTCACTACTACTACTACTATAGAGAAATAATTTCACACATAATCTAATAATTACATATATTCACTCCCTTCTCGCCACCTTTCTCTCTCTATTATTATTTCTCTCTCCTCCTGCAATCCACTACCGCCATCGCAATGCCTCGCTGTCTCTTGGCGTGCTTCGGAAGAGGCGCCACTTCCTCCTCCTCCTCCAAAAACGAGTCGTCGGAAAATGCCACGGCGGACTTGACGGCGGAGGAGCAGAGGAGGGGAGGGGCAGTGGTGGTGGAGCTGTTCTCGTCGCAAGGATGCGCCACCTCTCCGGAGGCGGAGCTGCTGGTGTCAAGGCTGGGGAGGGGTGACTTCAACCTGGAAGTGCCGGTGGTGGTGTTGGCATACCACGTCGACTACTGGGACTATATGGGTTGGAAGGACCCGTTCGGATCGAGCCAGTGGACGGTGAGGCAAAAGGCCTACGTGGAGGCACTGAAGCAGGACACCATTTTCACACCTCAAGTTGTGGTCCAAGGTAGGGCCCACTGCGTTGGCAATGATCAGGAAGCTCTCTTCTCTACCATCGCCTCCGCACCTCGATTCCCTGCTCCCACTCTCCAGGTTTGTTTCTTGGATTAAACATAGAAAACTAAGAAAATAATTATCAATTCATGGAGTACAATAATCTCACTTAAATTGGGCATATATTTTACTTGCCCTCAATTAAAATCATGATTTATATTACAATGATGGCAAAAGATTGTTCTATTCTATCCAATTATAGTGATTCATAGTGACAAATCTAAATCAATATGAACAGGCAACGTTCCAGAGGCCTTCACCGGAGACCCTGCAAGTGTCTCTAACAGGGTCTCTGAGGAGTAAGGTGGACAGTCAAGGTGCCAATGTCATGGTGGCTCTATACGAAAACAGTTTGGTGACTGACTGCACCAACGGTGAGAACAAAGGCCGAGTCTTGCCTAACGATTTCGTCGTTAGGAAGCTCCAAAAGCTCTGCTCTGTCAAAGACATCTCTGCCAAGAAGACTGTGACTGGAACTGTGAATTTCTCAGTCTGGGAACGTTTCAATGGCAGCAAATGTAGCGTAGCGGTCTTCGTTCAGAATAGCTCTCATCAGATTTTTGGTGTGCAGAACTTTCCATTGCCAGATGATCTATGAGTTTCACAGCTTCAGTATGTCTAAATGGTTAATTTTGGGCTATGTATGGTGTTTCCAGCTTTCAAGTTTGAACATCTTCTCTTGTATGTTTCAATGATCATTGTGGCCAAGATTTATTTTTAGTTGTTATGTACAGGATAACTATATTCAGGTTTAGGTTAATAGCTTTTTATTTCTTTTTCTTTTTGGGTTTTATTTTTTCTGATTTCATGTTTAGGAGATTGAGAGAGAATTCAATGTGCGTTGGTGTTTTGGTTATTTTAGTTTGGGATTAAAAAGTTTTATTTGAGATGAGTTTTTTGACTTTTTTAACTTTTGTAACAAAAAAAATAAAATGATTATGATTTGTATGTGACATTTTATTTTATTGACTTTTTAGTCTATTTTATTTGTTTGTGACTATTTTATTTGTTTGTGACTATTTTAGCTAAAAAATCCCATACTTTTTCTTCCCAAACGAGGGCTAAGATTTGGTGAACTGATTTTCTGTTTATTGTTTGGAGTGTTGGTTTTTTTTTTTTTTCGACAAAAATAGTTAAAAAGTTTAGTAATGATAGAGACTCCTCACAAAACACAACCCCCATAACTTCCAAAATGATCTCAACCATTTATGTCACTGTCAAACACAATTCTTAAAAATAATTCAAACACATTAATGGTCAATACATCAGTAGGGGTCATGGGGGTCCTCTTTTGTGAGGGTCCCAAATATTTTTCTAAAAAGTTATAACACCTATCACATCATTCTTTTTATTTTTCTTACATCTTTTCTTAAAAAATTAAAAAGTTAATTAAAAGAGTCACTGCTTAAACAACAACTGAATGTATCTAGTGTTGAAAGTTGAGGATGGATAATAGTGATTCTACTTACACCACTAAATAAATTCCTTACACCCTTCAATTTTGTTTTATTTTATTTTTTTTATTACATTTCAATTCTAGTATAAAATTACTAAAATACCCTTCCACCTTCAACTTTGAAAACCCTAATATTTCATTACACCCTATCACTACCACCTCTATCAGCCTTTCACCGCTATAATCCCTCCATCGCCGACCAGCTCTTCACCGTCTCACCCCACCGTCCTATCCTCCTCCTCCATCTTCTTCTTCTTCTTCTTTTTCTTCTTTTTCTTCCAGATCCGAAAACCTAACCCTAGGTTTTCTCTCTCTCTCTCTCTCGTTCTCATAGAAATGAGGCAATCGTGATGGTGGTGGATTGCGATAATCAGGACGCAGATATGAACGTGTTATAAAAAGGGGTGGTTGTAGCGATTCTCCGTCACCCTCATCTCCTTCCGTCACTACCCTCTTCCTCCTCTTTCTTCTTTTCTCATTCGAAAACTTAATCCTAGATTTCATTTATCTCTGTTTGTCTATCTCTCTCTCTCTCTCTCTCTCTCTCTCTCTCTCTCTCTACTAGTGGATCGTGGTAGTGGAGAAGTAGAACCGAAAGTGTTGCAGAATAGGGTGGTTGAAGCAGTGGTGATGGTCACGGCGGTGGAGCAATGGAGAAAGTGGTGGCTATAGCGATAAAGGTTGCGAAAGTGGTGGTTAAGACAATGGTGATCGCGATGGTTGAAGGGCTGTGAAGGTGGTGACAATGGCTACCGGAGATGAAATAGCTGCTGGAAGTGGTGGTTTGAAGGATTTGGAATGTTGGGACGAAAGAAATGAGGGTAAGTTTGGCATTATGAGAAGTGTAAAGAGAGAGGAATTTTTGGGTGTGGTGTAAAAGGAAAATAGGTGTAAGGAATTTATTTAGGTGGTGTTTGGGGAGGCAGATTAAGGCTAAATTAGCCACATCACGACAAAGCCTCCTTACACGGGTTTGAGACAACCCTTCTTCGGGCAGATTAACGGATATACCCTGGTTATTCCTCTCATTCATTTCGCCCAACACCAAAGGTAAACCCAGAACATAACCGTCCTAGGGAATTTCGAAAAGAATGAGGCGATTTGCTTGAACCAGCGGCAGCGACGACATCTGGTTCCAACTTCTTACAGGCGATCGAGCTGGAGTAGCCATCTGCGGCGGCGAAGATGACTCGTGAACCCTCTCAAACACCACCGATCTTGAGGTATCTCTTTCAAACCCGCCTGATTTCGTAGATCTATGTGAGTGTGTGTGGCATATGCTTACAGTTCATGTGTGGAGTCCCTTTCTCTCTGATTTCGTAGATCTGTGGAGTCCCTTTCATGTGTGGAGTCCCCTGTTCGAAAGATTGATTTGTTCATGTTCACACATTGTTGTGACAGATATATATATATATACATATATTTATCCAAAATAAAAAATAAAAAAATATGTATACACACATACATCTGTTCTTACATATAAATCTGTAAATCTGTGAGTAATGAGGGCCGGACTATGTATATATAGGTTCAGATCCATAAATGACTCTGTTCTTCTTTTGATTTTGTTCTTCTAATTATTAGTTGTGATCTGCTTTTCTCAGATCACAATTAAAAATGAAAAATTTGGTGGTTGGGTTCACACGTTTTGTTCACATCACAATCTATTTGGGTTCAGATTCTTATCTGATTTTTTGCAGATCGTTTGATTTTGTGCTTGGGTTCACACATTTTGTTATTATAATTAGGTCAAATGAAAAATTTCAGATCTTTTGATCACAAACTGTGGCTAATTTACAAAATGAAGGAAAACATGAAAATTTTTGTTATATTTTTTTTTTTATAGTCAATGTTGAAGCCTGAATTTTTGCTAATTTAGAAATGCTCAATTCTCATTTGTAAAAAATATATTAATTACATAAAAAATATATTTCAAACTAAATTTGGGAAGGAAGGTAGATATATTATCTATATATATACACAACAAATTACAAAATATATAAAACTTATAGTACAAATATATTAGAAAATTGGGTTTATTAACAAATATATTAAAAATATATTAGAAAGATATTAAAAATATTTTAAAATATATATTACAAATTTAGATTTAAAAAGTAAAGAGTGTAAAAATTTTATTAAACATATATGACAAAATTTAATTATTAAAAATATTTTCAAAAATATTTTCAAAATATCATAAAAAATATATACAAAATAGATTTATTAATTTGAATATATTAATTTGAATGCATGGATATCCGAACTATATGCGAGCCATATGGGGCGATTTGAGGAAAATGTTTGCATGCCGAAGGAAGTTTTTGTCGCCTTGTGTGAGACATTAGTAAATGATTTTGGGTTACAAGTCCCGCAACGTCCACATGGCTTAGCTGCTGAAGAAAGCGTTGCAATGTTTATCCATGTGTTGAAAGGGAAGCAAAATCGGGAAATTCAAGAACGGTTCCAACATTCGGGGGAGACTATGTCTCGGCACGTGCATAATGTATTAACTTCCATGAAAGCGTTCACTGTAGTTCATTGCCGCCCCACATACAATCAGCATCGTATGCATCCATACGTGCGGTCTAGACGAAAATACCTACCGTTCAAGGTACTACTGAAAACCATTATTGACATATAAATAAAGAGTGTCAGTTATTTTGTTTTTATTATTAACTGGAGGTGACGTATGGAAAAAACCAAACACTTGTTACCTGTTTAAGCAACAAAAGAAGTGGGTTGTTTGCAGGACTACATTGGCGCAATAGACGGAACACATGTAAGTGCATGGGTTACAGGACCAGATGCGGCAACATATTTCGGTAGGAAATACTGTCACATGCAAAATATCATGGCCGCAGTGGATTTTGACATGTGTTTCATATTCATTTCGTACGGATGGGAAGGAAGTATGCATGATAGTCGCATATTCAACGAGATACTAACGAATGACAATGTGCCATTCCCACATCCTGACGAAGGTAACACTCTCTCTCTCTCTCTCTCTCTCTCTCTCTCTACTAGTGGATCGCAGTCGTGGAGAAGCAGAACTGAAAGTGTTGCAGAATAAGGTGGTTGAAGCAGTGGTGATGGTCACGGTGGTGGAGCAACGGAGAAAGTGGTGGCTACAGCGATAAAGGTTGCGAAAGTGGTGGTTAAGACAATGGTGATCGCGATGGTTGAAGGGCTGTGAAGGTGGTGACAATGGCTACCGGAGATGAAATAGCTGCTGGAAGTGGTGGTTGGAAGGATTTGGAATGTTGGGACGAAAGAAATGAGGGTAAGTTTGGCATTATGAGAAGTGTAAAGAGAGGAATTTTTGGGTGTGGTGTAAAAGGAAAATGGGTGTAAGGAATTTATTTAGGTGGTGTTTGGGAAGGCAGATTGAGGCTAAATTAGCCACATCACGATAAAAGTGGCTAATTTAGCCACATCATGACAAAGCCTCCTTACACGGGTTGGAGACACACTACTACAAAAATACTTAAAGATCACACTTTAACAAAAAAAAAATATCTCACTTTTATTGGAAGTGTGATAAAAAAATTAGATTGATATTTTAATCACACTTAATTTGATTGAGTGTGATAATATTCATTTTTTATGTCACTTTTCAATTAAGTGTGATTATATATATATATATGTATTTTAATCACACATTCTAATTAAAGTGTGATTATATATACACTACTACTTTTTAATCACACTTTTTAAACAAAGTGTGATTACGAATATATATTAAATCACACCCATTCTAATAAAGTGTGATATTATTTATATATTTTTTAATCACACCTTCTACATTAAAGTGTGATATATATATACACTACTACCTTTTTATTCACACTTTTTAAATAAGTGTGATTATATATATTTTTTTAATTTTACCACATTCTTAATTAAAGTGAACATTTAATATTTCAATCACACCTTTCTAATTAAAGTGGCGATTATATATACATTTACTACTTTTTAATCACACACTTTTTAAACAAGTGTAATGTATATATAATATAAAATATATATACTATATATATTTAATCACACTTCACTACAGAAAAAGCATCCTTTGGCGACTAAAAAAAGCACATTTGGTCGCTGAAAGTATAGGTCTGGCGACTAAAAAGCATTAGTAGCCCAAAATGTAAAGATTTTTGGCAACTAAAATAAATTAGTAGCCAAAGTATAGGTTTTGGCTACTAAAAAATCTATTTGGTTGCCCATAATGGCTTCTTACAGACTAAAAAATTTTAGTAGCCAAAAAGTAAGGCTTTTTGGGGTGTCTAAAAAAAATTAGTAGCCCAAAAAGTGAGGTTTGAGTGACTAAAAGATTGTTTGTCGCCAAAAGTGAGAGCTTTTACGACTAAAAAAATTTTAGTAGCAAATTGTGAGATTTAGCGACTGAAAAAATTTAGTAGCCAAAAACTGAGTATTGATTGGGAGACTAAAAGATGTTTAGTAGCCAAAAAGTGAGGCTTTTTGGCAACTAAAAGAAGTCTAGTCGCCAAAAGTAGTAATTTTAGCCCGCTGCGATTAAATTTTTAAGACTAAAAAAGTAATTAGTAGTCAAAAGTGTAGAATTGGCGGACTAAACTTATGTTGTCTTAGCGCCACAAAGTGCGGTCTCTCTCTTTTTTTTATTAGTAAATCCATTTAATTCTTTACATACATTATGTTCAATAAAAAATAATGATCTTATATATTACTTTTATATTAATAACAGGTCTGTCTATGTACTATATAAATATATATGTTGCATATATCATCATTATGGTGTTATAAGGTGTGGTGGAAAAGAGTGTGTTGTATAAGGTTTATGGTGTGAGAGGGTTGATGGTTTGAATCTCCACAAGAGCAAATGATAAGCTAGTGAGTGCAATTTATATTTTTTATCCACATCTAAATGTTATTAACCACACTTAAAAGGTGTGATCTAAATACTATTAATCACACTTAGAAAGTGTGATCTAAATATTTTTAATTACACTTAAAAGGTGTGATTAAAAATGACCCCTTTTAATCACACTCCCAAAGATCACACTTTAATAAAACTTAAAATGTGTGATTAAATAACATACATCACACAAAAAAAGTGTGATCTTTATCTATTTTTGTAGTAGTGACAACCCTTCTTCGGGCAGATTTACGGATATACCCTGGCTATTCCTCTCATTCATTTCGCCCAACGCTAAAGGTAAACACAGAACATAACCATCCTAGGGCATTTCGAAAAGAATGAGGCGATTTGCTTGAACCAGCGGCTGCGACGACATATGGTTCCAGCTTCTTACAGGCGATTGGGCCGGAGTAGCCATCTACGGCGGCGAAGACGACCCGCGAACCCTCTCAAACACCACCGATCTTGAGGTATCTCTTTCAAACCCATCTGATTTCGTAGATCTGTGTGAGTGTATGTGGCATATGCTTACAGTTCATGTGTGGAGTCCCTTTCTCTCTGATTTCGTAGATCTGTGGAGTCCCTTTCATGTGTAGAGTCCCCTGTTCGAAAGATTGATCTGTTCATGTTCACACATTGTTGTGACAAATATATATATATATATATATATACATATATTTATCCAAAAAAAATTAAAAAAATAAAAAAATATGTATACACACATACATCTGTTCTTATATATAAATCTGTAAATCTGTGAGTAATGAGGGCCGGACTATGTATATATAGGTTCAGTTCCGTAAATGACTCTGTTCTTCTTTTGATTTTGTTCTTCTAATTATCAGTTGTGATCTACTTTTCTCAGATCACAATTAAAAATGGAAAATTTGCTGGTTGGGTTCACACATTTTGTTCACATCACAATCTATTTGGGTTCAGATTCTTATCTGATTTTTTGCAGATCGTTTGATTTTGTGCTTGGGTTCACACATTTTGTTATTATAATTAGGTCAAATGAAAAATTTCAGATCTTTTGATCACAAACTCTGGCTAATTTACAAAATGAAGAAAAACATGAAAATTTTTGTTATATTTTTTTTTTTATAGTCAATGCTGAAGCCTGAATTTTTGCTAATTTAGAAATGCTCAATTCTCATTTCTAAAAAATATATTAATTACATAAAAAATATATTCCAAACTAAATTTGGGAAGGAAGGTAGATATATTATCTATATATATTAACAACAATTACAAAATATATAAAACTTATAGTACAAATATATTAGAAAATTGGGTTTATTAACAAATATATTAAAAATATATTAGAAAGATATTAAAAATATTTTAAAATATATATTACAAATTTAGATTTAAAAAGTAAAGAGTGTAAAAATTTTATTAAACATATATGACAAAATTTAATTATTAAAAATATTTTCAAAAATATTTTCAAAATATCATAAAAAATATATACAAAATAGATTTATTAATTTGAATATATTAATTTGAATGCATGGATATCCGAACTATATGCATATCCGAACTATATGGGGCGATTTGAGGAAAATGTTTGCATGCCGAAGGAAGTTTTTGTCGCCTTGTGTGAGACATTAGTAAATGATTTTGGGTTACAAGTCCCGCAACGTCCACATGGCTTAGCTGTTGAAAAAAGTGTTGCAATGTTTATCCATGTGTTGAAAGAAAAGCAAAATCGGGAAATTCAAGAACGGTTCCAACATTCGGGAGAGACTGTGTCTCGGCACGTGCATAATGTATTAACTTCCATGAAAGCGTTCACTGTAGTTCATTGTCGCCCCACATACAGTCAGCATCATATACATTCATACGTGCGGTTTAGACGGAAATACCTACCGTTCAAGGTACTACTGAAAACCATTATTGACATATAAATAAAAAGTGTCAGTTATTTTGTTTTTATTATTAACTGGAGGTGATGTATGGGAAAAACCAAACACTTGATACCTATTTAAGCAACAAAAGAAGTGGGTTGTTTGCAGGACTACATTGGCGCAATAGACGGAACACATGTAAGTGCATGGGTTACAGGACCAGATGCGGCAACATATTTCGGTAGGAAATACTGTCACATGCAAAATATCATGGCCGCAGTGGATTTTGACATGTGTTTCATATTCATTTCGTACGGATGGGAAGGAAGTATGCATGATAGTCGCATATTCAACGAGATACTAACGAATGACAATGTGCCATTCCCACATCCTGACGAAGGTAACACATGGCCATGAATTAGATTTATGGGGCTATACATTTTTTTTCGGAAATAGCGTTGAAATGAAGCACAATGTTTGGTTTTCGTGTCATACATTGTTGTCATGTCTGCAGGCAAATATTATCTTGTCGATTCTGGCTATCCAAACCGGATAGGTTACTTAGCACCATTCAAAGTCCACCGTTACCACCAACAAGAATTCTGACGTATTGCACAGAACACAATGGCAAACACGCCAAGGGAAATATTTAACAAAGTTCACTCGTCATTACGCAATGACAAAATTTAATTATTAAAAAATATATTAAAAATATTTTCAAAAATATTTTCAAAATATCATAAAAAATATATACAAAATAGATTTATTAATTTGAATGCATGGATATCCGAACTATATGCATATCCGAACTATATGGGGCGATTTGAGGAAAATGTTTGCATGCCGAAGGAAGTTTTTGTCGCCTTGTGTGAGACATTAGTAAATGATTTTGGGTTACAAGTCCCGCAACGTCCACATGGCTTAGCTGTTGAAAAAAGTGTTGCAATGTTTATCCATGTGTTGAAAGGGAAGCAAAATCGGGAAATTCAAGAACGGTTCCAACATTCGGGAGAGACTGTGTCTCGGCACGTGAATAATGTATTAACTTCCCTAAAAGCGTTCACTGTAGTTCATTGCCGCCCCACATACAGTCAGCATCGTATACATTCATACGTGCAATTTAGACGAAAATACCTACCGTTCAAGGTACTACTGAAAACCATTATTGACATATAAATAAAGAGTGTCAGTTATTTTGTTTTTATTATTAACTGGAGGTGACGTATGGGAAAAACCAAACACTTGATACCTATTTAAGCAACAAAAGAAGTGGGTTGTTTACAGGACTACATTTGCACAATAGACGGAACACATGTAAGTGCATGGGTTATGGGACCAGATGCGGCATCATATTTCGGTAGGAAATACTGTCACACGCAAAATATCATGGCCGCAGTGGATTTTGACATGTGTTTCATATTCATTTCGTACGGATGGGAAGGAAGTATGCATGATAGTCGCATATTCAACGAGATACTAACGAATGACAATGTGCCATTCCCACATCCTGACGAAGGTAACACATGGCCATGAATTAGATTTATGGGGCTATACATTTTTTTTCGGAAATAGCGTTACTTGAAATGAAGCACAATGTTTGGTTTTCGTGTCGTACATTGTTGTCATGTCTGCAGGCAAATATTATCTTGTCGATTCTGGCTATCCAAACCGGATAGGTTACTTAGCACCATTCAAAGGCCACCGTTACCACCAACAAGAATTCCGACGTATTGCACGGAACACAATGGCAAACACGCCAAGGGAATTATTTAACAAAGTTCACTCGTCATTACGCAGTGTGGTGGAACGCACTTTCGGTGCTTGGAAAAATCGATGGGGGTTTATTCCAGACATGCCCCACTATGACTTTGCAAATGTGCAAGTTTAGTTAGTAGGTGCGTCAATGGCATTACATAATTACATACGGCGAAACACAGGCAATCCAACAACTGTTCACCCAATCTGTGACGAGGAAGAGGCAATGGCAATAGTAAATGCCATACCAGAAGTTGAACATGACGAGGATGGTTTAATGGTTGGGGATGAGGACCCGCATATGGCATTGGTGTGCCTTCGCATACGCGACAAATTATGTTACATGCGTAATAATGGAATGTTAGGAAATATATAATAGTCGACATAATTTTCGTAGGGTTGAAACATTGGTAATACATGTGGAACAGACTGTATTCAAAAATATTATCATGTACAATATGTATGTGTTTACACGGGAATATACTCACTTCCAGTTGGTGACGTGCCTAACTCTGAAAAACCAAAAACCACAGAGAAAAGCCAGTTCGAAAAAGAAAACAAAAATAGGTCTCATCCAAAAGAAAAAAAAAAGAAAAAAAAAAAAAAAAAAAAAAAACAGAAATTAGCATTTGCCACGTAATTTACAAATAAATAAAACATATGAAAATCCATTTTTGAAAAATAAAAACAAGTTAAAGTGACTGAATAAAAAAATGACAAAATCGTAAATTAAAAAAAAATAACGAGAAAATACACCTCATTGAAATAAAATAAATAAAAAAGAAAAGATAAATTACCATTCGCCACGTAATTTACAAATAAATGAAACACATAAAAAAAATGTTATTGTATACCAATAAAAATAAATAAGGCAAAAAACGTAAATTAAAGAACAAGAACTAATTAAAGTATAAAAAAAAATAAACAAAAACATAAATTTTAAAAAAAAAAAAAGTTAAGCAAAATGCGCCAAATCCAAACCCTAAATAAATAAATAAATAATTTACCAAAATACGCCAAAATAAAACCCAAAATAAAAAAATAAAAAAAATTCAACAAAATACGCCAAATCCAAACCCAAAATAAAAAAATAAAATAAAATATTTTACCAAAATAAGCCAAAATAAAACCCAAAATAAAAAAAAATAAAAAATAATAAAATTGAAACAAAATACGCCAAATCCAAACCCCAAAAAAAAAAAAAATTTATTTTACCAAAATAAGCCAAAATAAAACCCAAAATAAAAAAATAAAAAATAAAAAAATTTAAACAAAATACGCCAAATCCAAACCCAAAATACAAAAAAATAAATAAATATTTTAGCAAAATAAAATAAAACCCAAAAAAAAATAAAAAAATTTAAACAAAATAGGCCAAATCAAAACCCAAAAAAAAAAAAAAAAAAGGTTAGCAAAAAATGCCAATTCCAAACCAAAAATAAGAAAAAAATTTATAAAAAAAAAAAAAACAACAACAACAACAACAAGAAGTTCGGACCGTTGGGAAGCTGACGTGGACGTCAAATACATTTCAATACATTTCAATTACAGGTACAAATCTTATCAATGGCACTTTGGTAAATTCATAGGAAGACACCTCACCAAAAAATCAAAAAAGTCAAAAAGCCCTTCCCAAATCAGGCTTTTTAGCCCCAGACTAAAAAAGTTAAAAAGCCAACCCACTTCCCAAACGGAGGCTTAGTGGTGTAATAGAATCACTCATGGACAATATGTACTTCTCTTCTTCTTTTTTTTTGCCACTAATATTTAGAATAAATTACAAATAATTCTCTTGAAATTTATTTAAAATATGAATTGTCATTTGTGATTTCAAAAATTACAAATACTCTCTTGTCTGAATTTTTTATTTACCAGAATTAATTGAAAAAATAAAAACTTTAACTTCTCTCTTATATCATGATAAAATTACATGAAATATGAATTAAAATAAATTTTTAACATCATTAAAAACTATTAATTGTTATTAATAAAAGTTCATTTGTTATGAAATTAAATACTTTAAGGGGCCAGATATAATTTCTAAAATCATAAAGAATAAATCGTATTTTAAACAAATCTTAGAAAATATATTTATAATTTATCCTAATATATTTATCATTTTTAGAGTAATAATTTCAGTTTGGAGTAACTTCACTATCTCTAACACTATTACATAAATAATCATCTTAATTTTATCTTATCTTAAACAAAGATAGAGCAAGTAATGTTCCGTGACAAATATATAAATGTCTCATTGACTATGGTACTCATCCTTGTTAGTTTATTATTGTATCATGTTAGTGTTAGTATAGTGTTAGTTTATTATTGTATACAGGTTAGTGCATGTTAGTGCAGGTTAGTGCTATTAGAATATGATAGTTTATTCTTAGTGTTAGGCATAATGAATGTTCCCATTTACTTTCTTCTTTCGGTGCAAATTGGTGGCACCCTATGTAGCTTTTTTCTCTCTATAAAAGAGAGTGTAAATCCCCTTGTTAATACACACAACAACTGAATACTTCAGTAGCTCTTTCTCTCTCTCTCTATCCTCTATCACTCTCTCAAATTATTGTTTCAATCCTAATCAACGCAATCTCAGTTTCAAGCAACAATCAACTTCTAAATTAATTTCGTCATGGATCTTAACAATTAACTCTAAAATAAAATAATAAAATGTAAGGTGCACATAATTGTACACATATCCTCCCTCCTCCATCTCCAAAATTCCTCTCTTTGTTCGTAATACATTTTTTAATTGTGCGATGTCTTGAAAATCTAAAATGCAGAAATTTTGAGGAATGAGGCATAATAATGAGGCTAGAAATCCATTGAAACAAATTTGGAGCTGTGAACTCCGTGGCAGGACGTGTAACATTTTTTCTTCAGGGTTATCAAATCTACTAATATTTTTTTTACGTCACCAACACCATCAAATCTAATTATTATGAAAATGAAAGTCACAACAGAACGGGAAATAATAATAATTCACATCATTAAAAAAAAGATTATTAATAGCACTAATGCATTAAGAATGTTAAAAAAAAAAAAAAAGACATAAGCAGTGAATGGACGAAACATACTGCCACATCGTTAGTGATGTTATTAGAGCACCATTTTTAGTACTCTCAACCATTTTTCAATGAGAAAATATGTTGGTTCAGTTATCTTGATCCAATGGTAGAAAAATTGCAGTCATGTTTTGCTATATCTGTAACCACCAGCAGCTAGACCCGTCAGAAAAAAAATTAAACCTGCATAAGCCATTTATGGTGGGTGTTTAACCGCTTCTCAACATAATAAGCCTAAAAAGTACTCTCATTTCCCACTTTTTTTTACCAAACCTGCATTATAGAAACACTCATAAGTCGGTAGTTTGGGAATGGCATTTTTTCATTTTTTTTTTTTTTGGACTTATTTTTATTTTTATTTTTATTTTTAGTGAATTTTTTTAAAAATTTTGAGTAAATTATAAATACACTCCCTGAGATTTGATTAGAATATGAATCGCCTCCTGTAATTTTAAAAATTACATTTCATCCCTGAAGTTTCTAATTTCATAAAAATCGCTCCTTTTTAGGAGTCGTTTGACATTGGCTAATATAACCAACTTTTTGTGTTGAAACTTTTTTAACCTGACTTTTTTAGCCTTGTTTGATTTTTGTTTTGATACTTTTTTAACTTTTGTGATAAAAAAATGTAATAATTATGGATAAAAAGTAGTATTTTGTCTTAGAAAAATACCTGGTAGCTCGAAGCTACCAGGCTCGAAAATGGCTCGAGAGGAAGAAAGGGAGAGAAAGAGAGGGAGAGGAGAAAGAGAAGGGAGGGAGAGAAAGAAGGTCGGCGTCGCAGCTCCCCGCCCCGCTGTCGTCGCAGCTCTCGCCGTCGTCGTAGCTCCCGCCGCCGCCTCTGCTTCCTCCTCCGTCGCAGCCCCGCCGATGTCGCAGCACCACCGTCGTCTGCCCAACCTCCCCTCCTCCTCAAACCGATTTTTATGGCCCCCTCCCCTCCCTCCTCCTCCTCCTCTCTTCTCTTCTTCTCCCTTCTTCTTCTTCTTCTTCTTCGTTCTGCAAAACCAGGAAAAAAAAAAAAACAAAAAAAAAAAACAAAATCGACACCAAAACGACGTCGTTTTGGTGTCGAGCCGCGTTTCGAGCCGCGACATTCGAGCTACGTAGCATGATCATTTGTCTTATTAGCTTATGTTCGTCTTTTTGTGCTTTTGTAACTCCAATGAGAAAACCAAACAAGAGTTTATTAATAAATCATCAAGTCAATTAATATTTTGTAATGATGTTAAAAATATATTTCAATTAATGAATTAAGTAATTTAATTATTGTACAGAAGAGCAATTATAAATTTTATTTTTTAATTAATTCTGTTAAATAAAAAATTCTAATAAGAAGATGTTTATAATTTTTTAAACCAGAGAAGGCAATCTATATTTTAAGCAAACCTTAGAGGGTGCGTTTGGTTGGAGATTTGAAAAGAAATTTGAAAAAAGAAAAGAAAAAAAATATCTGAAACTAAATAAAATATAGATATATATTATTCACATTTCACCTACTTTTCATTTTCTCTTTCCAAATCTCTTCACAAATCCCTCAACCAAACACAACATAAGATAATGTTCGGCTTAATTTTGAAATTGTGATTCCAAAAAAAAATAAAAATTCAAGACCCTTTCCAAAACTCAATTAAAAAATTACAACTCAAAACTCAATTAAAATATCATTTTCAAAACTTCATTTTTTTTAAAAAATAAAGTTTTAAAAAAAAATTCAAAAAATAAATCTAAAAAATTTCAAAATACAACTCAAAATTCTTTTCAAAATTTATAACCAAATAAATTTTCTCTTTTTCAAAACTATTCAAAACTCAACTCAAAAAATAATTCCACAATCAAATTATGATTCTAAAACTAAACCAAACAAAATCAAATCTCTAGATCCAACTCGATAAGACAAACCGAAAATTATAATCTTTTTAAAAAATAAAAATAAACCAAAATAAGCAATCTTTTTTAATTTATTTTCATCTTCAGTAATTTTTGTTCGGAATTTTTTTTTTAAAAAAAATATACTTTTTAAATTCATGATGAGAAGACAGACTAGAAAAATAAAAATAAAAAATTGACATAATTTTTAAAAAAAATTTCCAATCTCTGTAACAGTCAACTCGTCAAAATTTTATGAATTTTTAACTTCATCCATATAATGCACAGACGGAACCTATTTTGACCCATTTTGGTAAATCACTAAAAACAAAAAATCAAAAAAGGAGGTAATTTTTTTTTTTGGTTTACCAAAATAGGTCAAAATATATTCCCTCTGGGCATCACATGGATGAAGTTAAAAATTCATAAAATTTTGACGAGCTAGGCTGTTACAGATAGATTGGAAAACTAAAAGACAAAACAAGAAGCAGTAAAAGTATAATTATTTTATTATAATTTCCGTACAACTAACCCGTTTGGGACTTTGATTTTCTCCAAAAGCCAAACTATTATAAATTATTAGGGCTGGCTTTGGTTCAGTCTATCATCGGTCTGGACCGTGCTGTTAGATTCGTGGGGGTTCATCACGGGTCTCGTTTTGAAAATCTGAACCGTTCAATATGTAAAACTCGTCAATATGTAAAACTCGTCGAGTACTATATGCCTGTGAAAAATCACATTGATCGGATATCGATAGCTATGTGATCAAAACAATTTTTTATCAACCGTTAATTTATTCACCATTCATTTTTTTTTATACAAAACTGATTTGATCACATAAGTATCGATATCCGATCAATGTGATTTTTCACAGACATATAGTACTCGACAAGTTCTACACATTCAACGATTCAAATTTTCAAAACAGGACCCGTGGTGACCCCCACTGGCCCAACAGCACGGTCCAGTCCGATGGCGGACTGGACCAAAGCCAGACCCAATTACTAAATCATTCTGCCTACTTTTTTGAATATTTTTTTAAAATAAATAAAAAAATTAACTAAAACACCAAACAGGATAGCAATAGAATTGAAGTTGCTAAACTTTCAATTCGATTCAGCATAATGACCAGTAAAATCAATTAAACACACAAATCTGCACTACTATTTATTTCATGTCACTGTAACTTTTTTAACTCCATCCATATAATGCACAGACGGAACCTATTTTAACCCATTTTGGTAAATCACTAAAAACAAAAAAAATCAAAAAAGGAGGTAATTTTTTTTTTTGGTTTACCAAAATAGGTCAAAATATATTCCCTCTGGGCATTACACGGATGAAGTTAAAAATTCATAAAATTTTGACGAGCTAGGCTTTTACAGATAGATTGGAAAACTAAAAGAGAAAACAAGATGCAGTAAAAATATAATTATTTTATTATAATTTTCGTACAACTAACCCGTTTGGGACTTTGATTTTCTCCAAAAGTCAAACTATTATAAATTATTAGGGCCTGGCTTTGGTTCAGTCCACCATCGAACTGGACTGTGCTGTTGGGTTCGTGGGGACTCACCACGGGTCTCGTTTTAAAAATCTGAATCGTCAATGTGTAAAACTCGCCGAATACTATATGCCTGTGAAAAATCACGTTGATTGGATATTGATAGCTATGTGATCAAAACAGTTTTTTATCAACCGTTAATTTATTCACCATTCATTTTTTTTATACAAAACTGATTTGATCACATAGCTATCGATATCCGATCAATGTGATTTTTCACCGACATATAGTACTCGACGAATTCTACACATTTCACGGTTCAAATTTTCAAAACGGGACCCGTGGTGGCCCCCATTGACCCAACAGCACGGTCCAGTCCGATGGCGGACTGGACCAAAGCCAGACCCAATTATTAAATCATTCTCCCTACTTTTTTGAATATTTTTTTATAATAAATAAAAAAATTAACTAAAACAACAAACAGGATAGCAATAGAATTGAAGTTGCTAAACTTTCAATTCGATTCAGCATAATGACCAGAAAAATCAATTAAACACACAAATCTTCACTACTATATATTTCATGTCACTGTTACTTCACATTCACATAAAGATACATAGTACTAAAGCCTATGGGGTCTGAGGTACAACATACAAGCAACCTCGAAGTGAAAATCACGTCTTACCAAAAGAACATAAAAATTATTCCATATGGGTATATAGCAAGCATATGATTGGAGATATATATTTTCACAGAAAAAGAAAATCCATTATCTACAAGGAGGAAGGCATATAGGCCGAACAAGGGGTATTATCAACAGATGGTTTCTCTCACTAACAATGACATAAGGTCACATTATTTTTCCTCTATTTTAAGCATTGAACATCAGAAGAAATTAAAATACAAGGCAGCTTTAACAATTCTTTCTAGGCGGAAGCAGCACTTACAAGAAAAGCAAATTGCAATTTACACTGAATCTACCGCCTCAACCTGTTGCCGAGCAAGGTACTTCTCTCTTCGCTCTTTCTACAAACAAGAAGAGGGAAAAAGAAAGATACGTTTTTAGAGGAAGAAAGCTTAGAAATTTCCAAATACAAATTATTAATTCAAAGATCAATATAGTGCACTTACCCATTCATCTATAACAAGACCTTCCCCGACAACTCGTGGACCTGTATCTGCTGTAGGTTTCTTCGGTACTACAATGGCAGCTTCAGCTTCAGCCAACTGGCGCTTCAGTTTCTCCAATGCCTAGTACGAAGAACCAAGATGTAATTATTGGACATTATTCATGAAAAAATCATGGAAGAGGATGAACACACAAAAATCACATAAAGAAGTAAACTTATTTAATTTCTACTTACAGGACTAGGTCGTCCCACATCCAAGAAGACAACACGCAAAATTCGCTCAACAGTTACTTGTTCTTTCTGCTCATCAAACTGTATTGAAAAAGTATCAAATTCAATTCGGAATCTGTTCACAAACTCTCAAAGACTGGAAAACAATCGTCAGATGACTACAGCCATTAAATCAAGCATATGATTTCCAAGCTGAAATACTCGTCAAAAAAAATATTTTTAGGCTGGAATCACACATTTAACAGTATTTTCTTCTAGTTAAGACATTTAACAGAGTTTATAATTTACAACTATAATCACATTTAAAGGAAATTTGCACAGTTAGTAGCCAATAAAGGGGCATGCTTAATTAGTGAGCAAACCTTGGGAATCAGTTGGGCCAAATGTGTACAATTTCTAGTACAAATGACTCTAGTTAACTTCCATTTTTTTTTTTTTTTTGGAACTAAAGTCTTTAGTTAACTAGACCATACATATAGTGACTCAATCAGGAAAAGGAAATTATAGAATTCAATACTGTTTTTAAACTGAGTGTGCTAACTAGAGCAAATATTGACTAGATTAGTACTATGAACACTAAATGGTGGTATTCCTAAATGATACCCCCATGGAACGTAACATTTTGCCTCTTTGATGATTTGCTAGATGTAATTTTCAACTACAGTCCCTTACAAACTTTGAACTATGTGTGACAACTAAAGGGGTCAAGGCACACAGAGCCCAAATAAAGTAACATAACATTACAGGCCCTACAACTCACCAATTCAGGCACATAATCCATTCCTTCTTTCACCTTCAAACTCATGATCTTAAACTTGACCTTGCTCTTCTGGTCTAATTGTTGTTTCTCATTGTTCTCTGGTTGCTCCACAAACTTGAACACTGCCAACAATAACATTCAAAAGCATAAACCAGATATAAGCCTGAACTATATACAGAACATTAGTTTTTGAAAGAATGCCTTCCTTTCAGGAGAAGAATGTTTCTGGAAGAGAAGAACAAGTTTTTTACCATTGTAATGAAATCAAACTTTCTAAGCTATCCATGCGACGTCATGTCTATTGACTGCTATGCTGCATTTCACATTTCATTTCTTCTACTGGAACTATTTCTACTAAGGACAAATAGAGTCTGACATAATCTGCAACTATTGCCTATTCATGTTGCCAACTTGACCATGCTAGACGTAGTCCTAGTATGAGATGAAGCTTAAAACGCTTTTAGGGGCTCTAACCATTTCACAATTTTTAAAAAACACATTTAAAAAAAACTAGGGATATTTTGAATTTATTTCCAAAACTATGTGAAAGCAAATTGCTAAACAGGTTTTATTGGAAGTGTGTTTGTTGTTTAGTAACCACATTTTCTAGTATTCCTATATATTAGTTTATTCAAATGTTCAAACATATTGCATTATAACAATATTAGATGGAATGGAATATATAATTACTTTCGAAAATAAACCAGAAGTTCATATTACTTTCCACTACTTGAACGAATCTTGTGTATTGCATGGAATTCAAGTCATGGCACACATGAAAACAAAAGCTATACTTCCAAAGAAAAAGACAACCAAGCAATGGATTATTACCAGTAGCAATAATGCTTTCTTTAGGTGCAAGGATGCCTCCAGGAGGTCGCATGTAACAACTTTTTGGTGCAGTAGTTTGAAACTAAAGCATGATGAACAAATCAGTTAAAAATTTGAGTAGACATGCAGATACAAGTATAACAAAGATAAACAGGGATTTGATCTTCCCAGTTTCTCATGATGTCAACAAGTGGATTATGCTTTTTATTGCTTTGGAAAACAAGTTGGTAGTTTATCATGAAAACAACAATTTAATGGGGGGGTTAAATTGAAGAAAAATGAAGCATAAAAACAAAAAAGAACTTAAGATTGCTGAATCCATAGACAAAAAGGTTGTATACACAACCACAACCCACACTCTCATGTGTGAATTTAGCAATCCTCTTTTCAAGTGGCTATAAATAGTCAAACCACATAATAACCTTCAGTGATGATCAATGACTCATCTTAAATTTAGAATAGCCATATATCTGCAATTAAAGAATAAGAAAATTGCTAATGACTGCTCCCAGGGCAGTTAATATAAGAATTGAGATTAAAAAATGTTGTGGAAAAAAGTAAGAAGATCAAAAGTTTTATGAAATCAATGAAAATTGTTCTGAAATGAGTCAAAAGTGTCATTTTTTTTTATAAAAAAAAAAAATTGTATGTAACACTCGAAAAACTGATGCATTGATAAGTATTGGCTGCACATAAAAAACTGGAAATTTATGCAACACTCAGAACTCACGAAATATAAGCAAACTACATAAAGCACTAAAAAGAACCATTACCTTGAAAGCTACATGGGACCTGCTAGTGTTCTTAATCCTAACAGCACTCTTGACCTGCTTACCCGGTTCATCTTCAAAGTCAGATAAACAAAACAAACAATCAGATGACTTAAAAAAGACATACAAACTCTGAAAAGCAATTCGAATACACAGGTCTATTGTGAGTGCGAGTGTGCCTTTACAGATGAACAACATCAATTGCACCAATTGAACAGAAACAATCAATTTATTAAAAGAGAAATTAATTTAAGCTTTACCATTAAATGACAACAACAACAAACAAACATACAAACATACAAAAACTAAAAATCAGTACATGTAGAACTCAAGAAACAATAATTTAGTCTGCGAGTAAAATTAATTTATGAATAATCAATCAACATGAAACAAACCATAAACGAGACAGAAGTAGAAGAAAAATTAACGCACAGGGAAAGTAGAGATTGTTGGAAGGATCGAGACGGAGTCGACGCCTGGTAGGAAGGATCGACCTGGCCACCATAGAAACCTTAGTCGAAGAGCGAGTGTTCGATAAGACGCCTCCGTTCTGGTGGCTCGAGTTCAGGTTATGAGTAGAAGAAGAAGACGAAGAACCGGTTCCTGATTGCCACAAAGGGCACAGTCTCCACAGCTTCCCGTCGGAGTGAGACTTGTGGGGGTCAGCGATAGCCATGCTTTCACCACGTCGCCAACTGTTTCAGTCCATAAAAGTTAGGGTTCCGATGACCTCCGGTGACCGGAATTTGAATTAACCGGCGAGAGCAACGCGTCAGAATTCGAATCAACTCAACTCGCTATGTATATGTATAATCTCTCTCTCTCTCTCTCTCTCTCTGTGATGATGAGTTGTTTCGGGGGGAAGGAATAGCACAGAAACAGAGGACGGACTTGAAAAGGGGATTTAACTTTAATTGGAGTTAGTTTTGATGTCCGCGTACACACACATACACACTCACACTGCTTCCACACCTGATGGTGGTGGTTAATGCAATAAAATGTTCTACTTGAAAACTTCAACGACTAGAGGGTCAAAAAATGAACGAGACCTTAATGCAATCACTGTGAGATCACTGTAAAGTACTTACTGCAGAGGAACCTAACCCACCACATTGCATTAAGTGCCGTGAGGAGTGGGGACCAATGAGAACATGACAGGTAGGTGCAAGGAGAGGGGTAATTGTGTCCATTGAAGTTAAGTATTTCTGACCGTACTTAGCCCTCTTTGTACACATGTTTGAGTTAAAAAATCACAAAAATATAAAATATATTATATAAATTCATAAGGTGAAATAGTATATTCAAATCATAATTATTATATTTTTTTTATAAAAATTTAAAAAATAAAACCAAATAATACTAAAAAAATCTCAATATAAAAAATAAACTACCATAATCAATACGAAACGAAACTTTAAAGAGTTCTCTTCATTGCCTGATTTGTCTTGATAATGACGGAGGAAGGGTTTAAGAAAGGAGACGTGCCAAATCAATAGTAATAATGATGATGGGGTTTGATTGAAGGATTAGGTATTGGGGAAAATAACTTGATGGTTCCATCTTGTTTATTAGACCATTTCTAATAATTATTCAGATTTATTATTAAATTTAAATTTAATAAAAAAAAATTCTACTTTAACGATTTTATTAAATAGATATTATATTTAGAACTTTATTTTCCTTATATCAAATTGAGTTTTTATTAAATCATTGTTCATTACCGTTGTCAGATGTTTTAGGATGACCATCTCAAGACAAAAAAATAAAATAAAAAAATTACACTGGTCGATCGACCGGCCGGATATCCACTTGATCGTCTGCCAAGTTGGCCGATGTTCTGATGACGCTCCAAAATCTTCCGTTGAAGCACTTGATATCAAATGAAACTTTTACTTAAATTTGGTGAAAAAATGATACACTGTTGGAGATGCTTATTGTACGGGGAGCAAATATTCCGGCAAGCCCGTACTCCTTTCTTCCGAGCTCCGTCAATGTCCGATCACCTGCGAGCAAGTAACGGTGAGCTACCCGGCGGTGTGTGGCCGGAAAAACCCTCCGACGATCAAGTTAGCACACACCTTAGGATGGATAGAGAGAAGGGAGAGAGTGTTTGAGTGTAAGAATCCCTTACAGAGATGTTCGTGTCCTGCGTATGGGGGGCACAGACATGCTTATATACCTTCTGAGCCCCATATCCACTCCCAGTCATCTCCTGACACGTGGTTCTGCTATCCCATCTGTCAGCATAAACCATGCCATTCATTACCTAACCTCAACTGCCTGTCATCACAGCTGGAGTTCGGCAGTCGAGCTGCCCTATCCGTTGTTGTGCCATGCCGTGCTCCATACCCTAGCACTTCACTGGCCAAGACTGAGGAGGACCGGGCTAGGCGGCATCTCGGCAAAGCCTAGCCCGAGGTGCCTCCTGGGGTCGGCCTTTCTGCCGGTCAGACAACTTCCTCGGATGTCCGCGCCTTCCCGGGCGCCGGTCACTCGGCCTATCTGGCTTCGGCCATCCTCGGACCGAGCATCCTGGTCCGACCGAGCACTGCCTTGCCGAGCAGTTTCTGTCCGGTCCAGGGTGGCACACAGCCCGAACTCTGCCCGACCCAAGTTCTGGCAGCCCTTCTCTGGGCGAACAGTCGATCATCCCGGCCCAATGCACTGCTGGGCTTTCAACCTGCTCGGTCGATATCTAGGCCCAACTCCAGATCATAAATCACCCTCTCAATTGCCCCTTAATTCCGTTCGCGAAAGCGTGACTGGGATTACTCACTTCGACCGAGATAACATTTCTCCAGTCTTCAAGACGCCGAACCTCGTCCGGGCTAGTTAACGTAATTGTCTGCAAACTTGCCCGGTTATATTCCCCGGCTGACATCTTTTCTCCAAAAGTAGCTCGGCTGGCTCTTCGCCTCTTCAACCCGTCGCTTCAGTCCTGACGTCGCCATAAATAGGGACACGTGGCGGGCTGCCATTGGTCATCGAGCAGCCCACCCGCCGTCTGTGTCAGAATTTGAATTTGGGCGGTCTCATGCTTACATATACACGACCCCCATCATTTCATTTCTTCCTATTGTTGCTTCCATTTCTGACGATTCTGAAGCTCAAGCCTTCTCCTCAAACTCGACTGTCATTCTTCGTGTTCGAGGGACACGACCCTGTCCTTCACTGGTAAGTCATTCCACCCTCATTTTGTTGCTATTTTCCTTCATATTGCACACATTAGGGCACAAAATCGTAGACCTTAGGGCATAGGCCATAGAAAACGTCTCAAACCTCCTACTGTTCTTGGTGTTCTTCGTCTTCCTGAAGAACACTGAAGAACTGGGGCGAACCGGGCTCTCGGTCTTATTTTGATCCAAAAAACCAATCAAATCGGGCAAACAACATGTTTGTCGCAACCCCGGCACAAACCGAGATACCAAAAGGACTCTGTCGCTCAACCGGGCTAACATCTGGTCTGCTTGGGCGACCAGGCTCCTTAGATAGAGTAGACAACCGAGGTGGTTTGGCACTCTTAATGACCGAGCTAAAATCCAGCTCCTTTTGCGCGACCGCGCCCCAAACCTAACACTTACCATCCTTTTCCTGCAGAGTCCAAGGGGACCACTGTCATTCCTGAGGCTCTCAGGACCGAGAAGCATCCAATAACCAGTGCCAAACCTCTCAGCCGGGATACATTAGGCCGGCCACCAATGGGGAAATTCCGCTTCCTAGTGGATACTCCGGCCGCACTAACTGCTTTCAGAGAGAACTACAGCATCCCGGCCGATGTTCATCTCGAACTGGCAGAAGAAGAGACCACACCCTGGGGCAGACTTGATCAATGCCCCTTCACCGTGCTCTCAATTGTCGAAGGGGGTCTCCGTTTCCCGCTCAATCCTCTTATAACCGAGTTCCTTCGTCGCACCGGGCTGGCACCCACACAAGTGTCAACCAATACCTATAGAATAATCAACGGCGTTCACGAACTGAACAATCGACTAGGCACCCACTTAGGTCTAGCCGAGATATTAAGGCAATACACAATGGGCCACACCGGTGACGGCCTAGCATATTACTTGAAGATTAGACCGGGCAAGGAAAAAATTGTGACCGGCACCCCGGATAAAGATCTTCACGACGATGATTTTTTCTGGGTGTCGGGCAATTACGAAACAGCCGAGGTGCCGGGCTGGTTCATAAACAAGGACTTCGGTTCTTCCTGTAAGTCATTCAAACTTGCTCGGTTTAGCTTAAGATGTTCGTGTGTTACGTATGGGGGGTGCAGACATGCTTATATACCTTCTGAGCCCCATATCCACTCCCAGTCATCTCCTGACACGTGGCTCTGCTATCCCATCTGTCAGCATAAACCATGCCATTCATCACCTAACCTCAACTGCCTGTCATCACAGCTGGAGCTCGGCAGCCGAGCTGCCCTATCCTCGGTCGTGCTGTGCTTCATACCCAAGCACTTTACTGGCTAAGTCCAAGGAGGACCGGGCTAGGCGGCATCTCGGCAAAGCCTAGCCCGGGCACC